GCCTTCAAGGCTTCATTCAAAGTCTCAACCCTAATTTCATAGAAATTATACGAAACCTAAGGTAGAATCATCATACAAACATGAATTACATAACATCACATTCAATTCATATCCTTCAATCAATATTCAACACAAACTAGGGTTAGAATTAGGAAAGGAAGGAGAAACATGGGTCTCATGGGGAATTCTTCAAGAAACCACCAATACAATCATAAAATTCATCCATAATTGTTCATATAACATCAATCAAAGTCAGTTTATAATATCAATTTCACTTTAGAAAGAAGACCCACAGATTTGGATTGAAACCTAGAAATTGGAGATTTTTTAAATTCATCTTTAAGGTGCCTCTTGGGGAAAGTAATCGCAAGAGTGATAAGAAACCATACCTTATTGATGAATTAACCATGAAAATTCGAGTTGAAACCTTGGAGAGTTGGTCTTCTTCTTGAAGCTCCAATCCTCTTCAATGGAGTTCTTAAGAAGAGAGAGAGTAGAGAGAAGGAGGAACTTTAGGTTTTGATCTTTGAGGTTTTGTGTTTGGATGATAAAAGTGAGTTAAATTGACTTAAAAATCATTATATACACGTACCCTAAAGTACCCTAAATTCCCCTCACTTAGTTGGACTCTTTAATGAAGTAAAAAATGATTTTTGAATTTCTGTATTTTTGTTGCAGAACAAGTCCGCGACGCGGAGCTGTTCCCTGAAGATATTTGGAATTAAATTTCGCGACAGTAGAGTCCGCGACACGACCGCGCCGCGAACAAAATTTTTCTTCTTGGGGGATCTAGTCTGCGACGTGGAGCTGTTCCCATCAAATTCAATTTGCAAGCTGCCTTGGCAGCTTGCTTGGCCAAGGTTGGGGTCCTCTTCGGGTCCCCTTAGGGTGGCCCCATGGAGTCGTATTCGAACGTTTTGACCCTATAAACATAAATTTACCTAATTTAGACCATTTTACATGATTATAACATCATACGACACTCCCAAACCTGCCCAAAACCTAAGGACACACTAGAACACATTTTTCTCTACTTTCCGGACGTCGTGGTCGTTTCTTGACGTTTAGACTTTTACTCTTCCAAACCAATTCAATTGAATTAATTTAGGTTTAGAAACATAATTTTAATTATTTTTAAGTCATTATTCATAAGGTGAGGCTCTAACGTAAGTCATAGAATTTCTGGGGTGTTACAACATCCCCCCCTTAGTAACATTCGTCCCCGAATGTCACTTGGACTTCTTTCTAGGGAGACAATGACTCAAACTAGCAGCACAACAACTAGTCACATGAATAACATCATATCATATAGGAATTTAATCCACAACATCACTATGCTCAAAACTTTTTACTTCTCATGAGTATAGGAGGAACTACCTTCTCCATATTCAATGAGCACCGACATATATATTAAGCAATCAACAAGACATTTCTTTAGCAAGACAACATCAAGAATGCTCATTACAACCCTCATGAAGACAACATCAGACAACATCTATGGGTGCAATTTCAACCATGAGAAACAAAATTCATGAAAACTCAAAATACAACTTAAGCATGAATTTTCACAAAAATATGCACATTCAAGGAAATCATGTCATAATCATCAACACACATGATTTTCAATTTATACCTCATTAAGAGAGACTACTAACCTTAACTTTGTCTAGAAGTAGGAGAAAAAAGATGAGGGTATCGGGACTTCATGTCGGCCTCGGCCTCCCATGTTGCACCCTCAGCTAGGTGGTTTCTCCATAAGACTTTTACGGAGGCCACCTCTTTATTCCTCAACTTCTTAACTTGACGATCTAAGATTTCGACCGAAACCTCTTCATAAGAAAGGTTCTCATTCACCCCTAAACCTTCTAGAGGGAGAATGGACACCGGGTCACCTATACATTTCTTTAACATAGAAATATGGAACACCAGTTGAACCTGGCCAATTCGATAGGCATTTTCAACTCATAAGAGACCTTTCCGACACGTTTCAAGATCTCACAAGGCCCAACATACCGGGAACTAAGTTTCCCCTTCTTACCAAACCTCATCACCCCTTTCATGGGTGAGATCTTCAAGTAGACCCAATCACCTACTTCAAATTCAAGATCCCTCTTTTTATTATTGGCATAATACTTTTGCAGACTATGAGCCGACTACAACCTATCCCTTATAAGTTGAACTTTTTCTGTAGCCTCATAGACTACCGCGGTACCAAGAAGAGCAAATTCACCTACTTCAAACCACCCAATCGGAGATCGACACCTTCTACCATAAAGTGCTTTAAAGGGTACCATAGTAATACTCGAGTGGTAGCTATTGTTGTAGGAAAATGCTATCAAAGGTAGGTGGTCATCCCAATTACCTTTGAAGTCAATGACACACGCTCTCAACATGTCCTTTAGGGTTTGGATGGTGCGTTCCGCTTGACCATCCGTTTGAGGGTGAAATGTGGTACTAAGTTTTACTTGAATACCAAGCCCACTTTGGAAAGACCTCCAAAAATTGGAAGTAAATTAGGCACCTCTATCTGAAATAATCAACAACGGGGCCCCATGAAAATTCACAATCTCCTTAATGTACAACTTAACATAATCTTCCACTGAATAAAAAACCTTGACGGGAGGGAAATGGGTTGATTTAGTCAATTTATCCCCAATGACCCAAATGGAGTCATGTTGCCTACGGGTTCGAGGCAAACCTACCACGAAGTCCATATTGACCTCTTCCCACTTCCAAGTGGGGGTATCAATATCTTGAGTTAGAACTCCTGGTTCTTGGTGCTCGAATTTGACATGTTGGCAACTTGAGCACCTAGCCACAAAATTTGCTATGTCTCTTTTCATTCTGTTCCACCAATAAATCTCATGTAAGTCACGATATATTTTGGTGGCTCCCGGATGGATGGAGGATCGGGACCCATAGGCCTCCTCAAAGATTGTCTCTCTTAGGCCATCCACATCCGGCACACATAACCTACCTTGGTGCCTTAGCACCCCATCTTCTACTTGAAAGAAAGTTTCTATTGCTTTGTTCAGAACCGACTCCTTTAGTTCCATCAAAATATGGTGAAGATGTTACTTAGACTTCACATCAACAACAACGGATGACTTGGAATTATGATGGACCATGACACCTCCTTTTGGGGAATCTTCAAGTCAAACACCCAACCAGGCTAGCCTATGTACATCACGGGCTAACTCCCTTTTCTGTTCTCCTACATGTGACACATTACCCATAGATACAAGACTCAAAGCATTTGCAACCACATTTGCTTTTCCGGAGTGGTAAAGGACACTCATATTATAATTTTTTAACAGTTCCAACCACCTCTTTTGTCGGAGATTCAATTCTTTTTGGCTAAAAACATATTGAAGACTCTTGTGGTCGGTAAACACATCCACATGTACCCCATAGAGATAGTGTCTCCAAATCTTTAAAGAAAAAACTACGGCAGCTAGCTCAAGGTCATGAGTTAGATGATTCTTCTGATGCACCTTGAGTTGTCTCGAGGCATAAGCTATAACCTTACCATTTTGCATGAGGAAACAACCCAAACCCACTCGGGAAGCGTCACAATATACTATAAACCCTTCGGTGCCCTCCGTTAAGGTCAAATTGGAGAGGAGGTGAGCTTATCTTTCAACAATTAGAAGCTCTTTTTGCAAGATTCAAACCATTTGAAGTTGGACTTCTTTTGAGTTAAGGCCGTTAATGGAGATGCAATAGATGAAAATCCCTCAAAAAACCTCCAGTAGTAACTGGCCAAACCCAAAAAGCTTCGGATGTCGGAAGGACTCAAAGGTCTAGGCTAACTTTTGACCGCATCGGTTTTCTTTGGATCAACTTCTATACCCTCACTAGAAACAATGTGACCAACGAAAGCAACCGATATTAGCCAAAAGTCGCACTTGCTAAAGTTAGCATAAAATTGGTGATCTTTGAGGACTTGCAATACTATCCTCAAATGATTCATGTTATCATCCTAACTTCTACAGTATATCAAGATGTCATCAATAAAGACAATAACAAATGAGTCTAATAATTTCTAAACACACGATTCATAAGGTCCATGAAAGCCACCAGGGCATTTTTAAGACCAAAGGACATCACTAAGAACTCAAAATGACAATATCTTGTTCGGAAGGCTGTTTTTGGAACATCACACCTCTCACCCTAAGTTGGTGATAACCTGACCTCAAATCAATTTTTGAAACGTAACTCGCTTCTTGAAGTTGATCAAATAAGTCATCAATCCTAGGGAGTGGATACTTGTTCTTAATGGTCACCTTATTTAATTGTCGGTAATCAATACACATATGAAGAGATCCATCCTTCTTCTTCAAAAATAACACCGGTACACCCCAAGGAGATATACTAGGTTGGATGAAACCCTTATCCAACAAATCTTTGAGTTGAGCTTTTAATTCCTTCAACTTCGTCGGGGCCATCCGGTAAGGAGGGATTGAAGTGGGTTGTGTATCCGACAATAAATCTATGTCGAAATCTATTTCCCATTTGGGAGGAATTCTGAGTAAGTCATTGGGAAAGACTTCTGGAAAATCCTTCACTATGGGGACCGACTCCAAAGGAGGAATCTCGGACTCAAGATCCTTGACCCTCACAATATGATAGAGACAACCCTTGGAAATCAACTTACAAGCTTTTACACATGAAATGATCCTTCCCCTAGGAATGGAATTTCCTCTCTTCCATTCTAAAAAGGGTTCATTAGGAAATTTCAACTTCAAAATTCGGGTCCTACAATCTATGGAAGCAAAACAAGCATGAAGCCAATCCATCCATAATATAACATCAAAGTCTATCATATCCAGTTCCACCAAATCAACCAAATTGACTCTATTGGGCATTGATATGGGACAACCCCTATAAACTCTTTTAGTAACTAAGGAATCACCCACCGGGGTAGAAACTGAAAAGGATTCATCTAGGACATCGAGAAACATATCAAACTTCATAGCCACTAAAGGGGTTACAAAAGACTAAGTGGCACTGGGATCCAACAATGCATAAACATTAATTAAAAATACTTGTAGCATACCAGTCACAACATCCGGAGAGCTCTCTTGATCACCTCGGGATTGGAGAGCGTAGAAATGATTCTTCTTAGGAGCATCGGGATTTGGGCCACTTACTTGTGCTTGAGCATTTTCCCTTCCTTGAGCCTTTAGCATAGGGCAATCCCTCCTCATGTGGCCATTCTTACCGCAACCATAGCAATTACCCGTGCTAACTAGGCACTTTCCTTTATGTTTTCGACCACACTTTGGACAAATAGGCTTCTCAACATAAGGACCACCACTTCTTGCTTCTTCAGGCTTGGGGGTAGACACTTTACCTTTGTTGACCCTTGAAGTGTTAGGAGGACCTTAGTTGGAAAACTACTGTTTGAACTTTGGCTTATCTTGGATTTCAAACCTAACCTTAGAAGAATTTCCATCATCGGCCCTTGATATCTTCAATTCTCTACCAACTTTCTTAAGCTTTTGCTCCTCAATTTGCTCAGAATGAACCATAAGATGAGAACTGTCCATGCTTGGGATTAGCATAGCCGACCTACATTCATTCACCACAAGATCCGATACCCCCATAACAATTTTGTTCATTGTAGCTCTAGAGTCCGACACTAATATAGGATCATGCTTGGAAAATTGAGTGAACCTGAGGCCATAGACCTTCACACTCATACCCCCTTGATGGAGGTTGATGAATTCTTGTATTTTCCTCTCTCTTAGTTCCGAGGGCAAAACCCTATCAAGAAAAGTCATCTTGAATGTAGCCCAACTTATCGGACCCTCTCTAATAGGTCTTGTAATGCACCTCAAAATGAAATAGAATAATTAGATCTTCACATGTGTGTTAGTAGTTAATAAACATGTATGAAAGTTTGAAAATGAGTTTATAGGTCAGTTTAGTTGAGTTTGAAGTGAAACTTCAAGGGGCGACCAAGACGTTCAGAAACTAGTCTTTTACGTGTTGTTGTGTTCTAGTATGTTGTTCATGTTTTTATGTGTTGTTTGGAGTCTAAAATCAGTGGAGGTGACCCTAGTGTCTTAATTACTGTTTTTAGGGTCAAAACATTTGGGTTCAACTCTCCGGGACCACCCTACCCGAGAAGTACCCCAACTCTTGGCCAAACAAGCTGCCAAGGCAGCTTGATAATGCTCATGGGGGGAGCATGTCCGCGTCGCGGACTAGCTCCACCAAGCGTCAAAAGTTTTGTCCGCGTCGAGAACTCTATTGTCTCGGAATTTAATTCCCAGAAACTTGTGGGAACACCCCCACGTCACGGAATTGTTTTATGATGACATCTGCGAAAATAAAACTCAAGTTTGACTTGTTTAAAAGGTCCAACTAAAAGATGGGTAGTTTGGGTAATTATTATAAATGGTTATTCTACCTATTTTAGGGTATTTTAAGTTGGTTAAAACCCCAAAACATAGAATTAGACCTCATTATCCAAATTGAACCTTCCCTCTCAATAAATTCTCTCTCTAGAGCTCCATGGAAGACATTAATGAAGCTTCAAGCTAGGGGATGGGTTCCTACTGATTTCTCCTTCAAATTCCAAAGGAAATTAATCACAAAGGTATGGGAATTTTTATCTTTGATTCTCCTTACAATCAAAGAGACGAATCAAAGTGATTTCAATGTTTTTGAAAAACACTATAAACCTCAATTTCAACTCTAAGCATGGGGTCTTTCATGAAAGTATTTCAAATAATGATTTCCGTTAATAATGATGGTTTTAGATAAAAAAACTCCATGTACCCTTTCATATCTTGAAATCCTAATTTTGGGTCTATTGGTTATGAGCTAATAATGTGATATTAATATGCAGATTGTTATGGGATATTTATTTATCTATTGTTCTATATTGAATTATGAGGAATTGATGATCAATTGTGTTATATTGGATGTTGGCCTTGAATGGGCAATTGTGACCTAAGGTTTATGAAGAAGATGAAGTTGTGAATAGATTATTAATTCTAGTATTATATATATATATATATGTTGTAGATTTTAGAATTATGAGGTTTGATCCCTTTGAAAGTGGGGAGGTGTTTACTTTATAATCATGTTGTGATCATTGCCTTGTAGGTAAATTTGGATGATTGTTGTTTTGAGTAGTGTTGATTATATGAAGGTAATGTGATATGATGTGAATTTGTGTATGGTCTAAGAGCATGAAAGGTGACCTTCTGTAGAGAATTTATGTGTTATGCTTGGTTGTTGTCTTCTCTGATTGACTAATAATGAAGATGAGGTTAGAATATACTATGTTTACCTACTCTCACACCTAGTGAAGAATGAATGAAAATAATGGAGGAATGTGAGAATGAATGAAAAGAATGGGAGTTAATGATAATGAATGAAAGTTGGGTCTATTGTAAGGATAGTCTCATAAAGTACTCCTTTGATTGAATGGGGTTCCTAGATGAAAGGTTTTCTTATCTTTGAATCCAAGAGCTTCCCTAAATGAATGAATGTTTGGCTAGGATGGGTACTCCTTCGTTAGTTGAGATGATAGTACTTAGTAGCAATCCTTATCCCTAAATGAAGGAATGTTGGGCTAGGATGGGTACTCCTTCGTTAGTTGAGATGAGAATACTTAGTAGCAATCCTTATCCCTAAATGTATGAATGAAATGAAAGTACTAATCCGTGGGGGAGTAATGTCTAGCACCGAGAGGATATGAAGATGGGTGGATACTAATTTGTCAGTTTAGATGTGAGTATTTAGTAGCAACCCTTAAGATGGGTGCTCCTTCGTGAGTTGAGATGAGAGTACTTAGAAGCAATCATTCTATCGCTTAACTGTGTGCCCACATAAGAGTAGCTAGTTGTCTCTACCACGTAAAGGCTAAAAGAATAACCCTACCTTAGGCAAGTGGGGATCCCTCATTCGGTAAGGGTACTACAGGGATTCCATGTCAAGCTCCATGGTATATGTCGGTTAAGGCTCTTCCCCCACATTAATGAATGAATGAACTAAGGTCTCTTTGGGGTGTACTACTTAAGATAGGTGGTGGAATGGGACATCATCTAGACATTGCACAAGTAGACATTTAAGGGAGATCGTGGTGTGTCTTAGTAATGATAATGAAGGAATGAGTCTCTTTGCGCTAATTAATGAAAGCGTTGGTCTTTGAGCATGCAATTGTGAGAGTGAGTCATAATGAATTGAATGTAAGTGCTTATGTTGAATTGAATATATGTGATGATCTTATGTCATTAGTGAATGAAGTTGTCTAAATGCATTAAGTTGAATCAATGATTTATGTTAAGATGTGAATGGAGCTTGTCCTGTGCACCCTTAAGGATCAGTTGGGTGTGGTATGGAGAGGTAGTATGGTCTGCCTCACCATGTCTTACTTAGGTGACTCTTGGGATGACATTTGATGGGAGGTCTAGCTTTAGGAAGTGACTTGTTGGCTTATGTGCATATATGTCTTATGTGATTAATTGGTGAAGGTTGAGGTGTGCATGGCAAGTGCACTCTGTGTGACTTTAAGGTGGTGCCTTAGTGTGGGTGATAGTATGGGACGTTGCCATACATTGCACAAAAGTATTGCTTAAGGGTTACTTAAGGTGGAGGTCCAAGGCAAGAAGGTAAAGGTAAATGGGTTATGTATGTTTATGAGGTATTGTGAATCATATGACTTTTATTGTTGGTTCTGAGTTGTAAGGTGCCTATTATGTTGATGTTCATGAGATTTTATCAAAATGGCATGAAAGCATAGCTTCCAAACAAATGTCCCTTTTAGCATGTTTTGCATATCCTCATACTTAGTACGTGTGTTGTACTAACCCCTTTCTTCTATTTTACTACAAGTGTATGTTGTGGTAACTAGGAGGAGATTGTGCTTTTGAGTTGTTTGGATTTCTTAACTCCTACAAGTCTTTAGTATGTCATCAAGATTTGAGGACTATGTTTAGAAGTTTCTTAGTCATTGTAATAGACTCTTAAGTTTCATTTCATTTTTAATGGGGTCGTGTCCCTTAGTACATTTTTAGGTATTGTCTAAGATTGGCTAAAGAGACTTAGTAGTTCCGCTTGCATATTGATGTTTTCAAATGATGTTGACTCTTGAAGTCTTATGGTTTTATTGAATAAAAGTTTTAAATTCTTAGTGATTTTTATGATCTATGTGATGAATGAATGCTAAGGCTTGTATAAGACATCTGAGAGGTCGAATACCTATGTAATGGCTAGGGGGTGCTCTCGGGTCATTACAAACTTGGTATTAGAGCATAAGGTTTTAAAGATTTCTTTTAGGTTCAAAGTCTCGAAAGCCATGTCTAGTAGAGTCTTGTTCATTGGTGTGAGTTGTGAGACATCTATGAGTGAGAGTTTATAGGACAATAGAAGTTTCACTTTCTTCATTACTTTGGTGTTGTGTCGTAGAGCTTAACTCCATATGATCTCTCTCTTATTTTCCCTTGTCTGGTGGTCTTCTAGAGGTGATTACTTGGAAGGGGTGATGTTGCAACGATCGAGGGAAGAAAATGTGAGTTTTAATGCTTGGTTGATTGAGCTCACCCCAAGTAGGGGATAATGTGCCTAGATGGTAAGGTTTTGAGTGCCCTTAATATTTCTACATTGAACTTCCTTGAGTTCTCTAGGTTGAGAACCACTTTGGGTGATAGATATGAAGTGGAGTGGTATAGATACTCATTTTTTTGGATTCTTGAAGTCCTCACCTAAGGGAGTATAGTAAAGATTTAGTGGAGAATGGTTCCTACCTTATAGATGAAGGAGGTAATGATTAAAGGTGTTTGCATACCTTGATCCCAAGAAGGGGACATTGTGTTTAATTGGTAAGTGATAGTTCTCTTGGTTACTATAATATGCTCTTAGATGGGTTTACCCTACGTGTGGGATGATGAGTGAGTAGTAAGGTTGTTGATATCCTTATCTTTTCCTTATATTCTTATTCAAGCTTGAGACCAAAGAGTTCCTAGTAGGTTGTTCATGTTTTGGAGTCTTTTATATGATTATGAGTTGCATCATCTCTGTATGTTATGCATGTCCTAGAAGACACTATGTTATGCATGTTTTGAAGGATTCTTATTACAAAAAAAATGTATTTTTAGTAATAAACTTCATGTTTCTCATGTCAATATGCATCTTTATATGGTGAATGGACTCTTGACTTCATGAAGAAGAAAGTATGAGCATGCTTAGGTCAGAAGTTGAGAATTTCTCCTTAAATGAATCGACCTTTGTGTAATGCTTGCTTATGAGTTTATGATGCCATGTATGTATGTTGTGACTAGGAGAAGGTAGTCCCTCCTAGAACATAAATAAACATGGTAATGCCATGTATGTTCTTGATAGTATGATGATTAAATGATAAGACTAGTAGATGATCTATAATCCTCATGTTAGGGTGCAACTAGTATGAATTGCTTAATTGCCTCATGAGTGGAAATGTTGATCATGTCTATGTGTGCATTTGAAAGCCATTGCGTATTGGACCCTATGATGATATAAAAGGGGTAAATATCATGTCATGATTAGTAGAAGGTTTTTCCTTCTATGAACATGAGAAAGGCCTATGTGGTTGATGCATTATGAGTCAGTGCATTTTTTTTTCTACTTGCTTGTGTTGCATGAGTTGATTTGAAGTGCATGCTCAAATGATTTCTTATGATAAAGTTGCATAATGTGCTTTAATGGGATAATTGCATGTTGTGTGTCTTTGGTGGTTGAAATGAGAATGATGATTTGGAGAAGGAAGTTCCTCCAATGAAATGGGAAATAATAAAGTTGAGGCATAAGGAGTGGATGCTTCCTCCTTGATGTGTGTTGTAGTAATGATATTACATTCTTGTTATGGGCTGGGAGTCCTAGAGTCTTTACTTTATAATGTTTGAAGTGTCATTCGAGGACGAATGTTCCCAAGTGGGGATATTGTAACGCCCCTCAAAATGAAATAGGATAAGTAGAGCTTCACATGCGTGTTAGTAGTTGATAAACTTGTATAAATGTTTGAAAATGAGTTTATGGGTCAGTTTAGTTGAGTTTGAAGTCAAACGTTAAGGGACGACCAAGACGTTCGGAAACTAGTCTTTTACGTGTTGGTGTGTTCTAGTATGTTGTTCATGTTTTTATGTATTGTTTGGAGTCTAAAATCAGTGGAGGTGACCGTAGTGTCTTAATAAATGTTTTTAGGGTCAAAACGTTTGGGTACAACTCCCCGGGACCACCCTAAGGGTCCTCGAGGAGGACCCCAACCCTTGGCCAAACAAGCTACCAAGGCAGCTTGATAATGCTCATGAAGGGAGCATGTCCGTGTCGCGGACTAGCTCCACCAAGGACCAAAAGTTTGGTCCACGTCGCAGACATGCCGCTGACTCTACTGTCTCAGAATTTAATTTCCAGAAACTTGTGGGAACACCCCCACGTCGCGGACTTGTTTCCCGACGAAATCTGCGAAAATAAAACTTAAGTTTGACTTGTTTAAAAGGTCCAACTAAGTGAGGGGAGTTTGGGCAATTATTATATATGGTTATTCTACCTATTTTAGGGTAAATTAAGTTGGTTAAAACCCCAAAACCTAGAATTAGACCTTATTATCCAAATTGAACCTTCCCTCTCAAATAAATTCTCTCTCTAGAACTCCATTGAAGACATTGATGAAGCTTCAAGCTAGGGGATGAGTTCCTACTGATTTCTCCTTCAAAATCCTAAGGAAATTAATCACAAAGGTATGGGGATTTTCATCTTTGATTCTCCTTTTAATCAAAAAGCCAAATCAAAGTGATTTCAATGTTTTTCAAAAACACTAAAAACTTCAATTTCAACACTAAGCTTAGGTTCTTGCATGAAAGTATTTTAAATGATGATTTATGTTAATATTGATGGTTTTAAGATCAAAAACTCCATGAACCCTTGCATATCTTGAAATCCTAATTTTGGGTCTAAAGTGGGTCTATTGATTATGTGCTAATAATGTGATATTAATGTGTAGATTGTATAGGCTATTGATTTATGTATTGTTCTATATTGGATTATGAGGAATTGATGATCAATTATGTTATATTGGATGTTGGCCTTGAATGGGCAATTGTGACCTAAGGTTTATGATAATGATGAAGCTGTGAATAGATTATTGACTCTAGTATTATATATATATATATATATATATATATATATATATATATATATATATATATATGCTGTAGATGTTAGAATTATGAGGTTTGATCCCTTTGAAAGTGGAGAGGTGTTTACTTTATACGCATGTTGTGATCATGGCCTTGTAGGCAAAGTTGGATGATTGTTGTTTTGAGTAATGTTGATTAGGTGGAGGTAATGTGATATGATGTGAATTTGTGTATGGTCTAAGAGCATGAAAGGTGACCTAGGGTAGAGACATTATGTGTTATGCTTGGTTGTTGTCTTCTTTGAATGGCTTATAATGAAGGTGAGGTTAAAATATACTATGTTTACCTACTCTCACACCTAGTGAAGAATGAATGAAAAGAATGGAGGAATGTCAGAATGAATGAAAAGAGTGGGAGTTAATGCTAATGAATGAAAGTTGGGTCTATTGTAAGGATAGTCTCATAAAGTACTGCTTTGAATGATTGGGGTTCCTAGATGAAAGGTTTTCTCATATTTGAATCCAAGAGCTTCCCTGAATAAATGAATGTTTGGCTAGGATGGGTACTCCTTCGTGAGTTGAGATGAGAGTACTTAGTAGGAATCCTTATCCCTAAATGAAGAAATGTTGGGCTAGGATGGGTATTCCTTCGTGAGATGAGCTGTGAATACTTAGTAGCAATCCTTATCCCTAAATGAATTAATGTTGGATTAGGATGGGTACTCCTTCGTGAGTTGAGATGAGAGTACTTAGTAGCAATCCTTATCCCTAAATAAATGAATGAAATGAATGTCCTACACTATGGGGGAGTAATGTCTAGCACCGAAAGGATATAAAGATGGGTGGATACTCCTTCGTTCGTTAAGATGTGAGTATTTAGTAGCAACCCTTAAGGTGGGTGCTCATTCGTGAGTTGAGATGAGAGTTCTTAGAAGTAATCCTTCTATCCATTAACTATGTGCCCACATAGGACTAGCTAGTGGTCTCTATCACGTAAAGGCTAAAAGAATGACCCTACCTTAGGTAAGTGGGGATCCCTCATCCGGTAAGGGTACTACCGGGATTCCGTGTCAACCTCCATGGTCTATGTCGGTTAAGGTTCTTCCCCTACATTAATGAATTAATGAACTAAGGTCTCTTAAGGGTGTACTATTTAGGATGGGTGGTGGAATGGGACATCATCTAGACATTGAACAGGTAGACATTTAAGGGAGATCTTGGTGTGTCTTAGTAATGATAATGAATGAATGAGTCTCTTTGGGCTAATTCATGAAAGCGTTGGTCTTTGAGCAAGCTAATGTGAGAGTGAGTCATAATGAATTGAATGTAAGTGCTTATGTTGAATTGAATGTATGTGATGATCTTATGTCATTAGTGAATGAAGTTGTCTAAATGCATTAAGTGGAATCAATGATTTATGTTGAGATGTAAATGGAGCTTGTCGTGTGTAGCCTTAAGGATTACTTGGGTGTGGTATGGAGAGGTAGTATGGGCTGCCTCACCATGTCCTACTTAGGTGAGTCTTGGGGTGACATTTGATGAGTGTTCTAGCTTTAGGAAGTGACTTGTTGGCTTATGTGCTTATATGCATTATGTGATTAATTGGTGAAGTTTGAGGTATGCATGGCAAGTGCACCTTGTGTGACCTTAATGTGGTGCCTTTGTGTGGGTGATGGTATGGGATGTTGCCCATACATTGCACAAAGGTATTGCTTAAGGGTTACTTAAGGTGGAGGTCCAAGGCATGAAGGTAAAGGTAAATGGGTTATGTATGCTTATGAGGTATTGTGAAGCATATCACTTTGTATTGTTGGTTGTGACTTGTAAGGTGCCTACTATGTTGATGTTCATGAGATTTTATCAAAATGGCATGAAAGCATATCTTCCAAACAAATGTCCCTCTTAGCTTGTTTTGCATATCCTCGTACTTAGTACATGTTTTGCATGTACTAACCCCTTTCTTCTATATTACTACAAGTGTAGGTTGTGGTAATTAGGAAGAGATTGTGCTTCAGAGTTGTTTGGATTGCTTAACTCTTCCAAGTCTTTCGTATGTCCTCAAGATTCGAGGACTATGTTTAGAAGTTTCTTAGTCATTATAATAGAAACTTAAGTTTCATTTCATTTGTAAAGGGGCCGTGTCCCTTACTACGTTTTACGTTCTTGTCTAAGATTGGTTAAAGAGACTTAGTAATTCCTCTTGCGTATTGATGTTTTCAAATGCTGTTGACTCTTGAAGTCTTATGGTTTTATTGAATAAAAGTTTTAAATTCTTAGTCATTTTTATGATCTATGCGATACTGAATGCTAAAGCTTGTATAAGACCTCCGAGAGGTCGAATACGCATGTTACGGCTAGGGGGTGCACTCGGGTCGTTACAGGTCTCCCCTCCTTCCATTATTCATACCACACTTGTGCCATATCTTTTAGTTGATAGGCGGCTAACTCCGCCTTTTCTTGAGAAGACACACCCATAGCCTCTAGAACCTTAAACACTTCATCAACGAACATTTGTGGATCTTCTTCCACTTTGGAGCCAAAGAAAGTAGGGGGATTCATCCCTGTGAAATCCCTTATCGTAGAAGCAGTAGTGATAACATTGGGGTTCCTTGCACCCTAGCATCCCTAGAAACTTGAGTGGCCAACATTTGAGTCAAATTATGAATAGCCGACTTTATCTCAACATTAGACATAGCCCCTTCTTCAATAAGAACTTGAGAGTTTTGAGGAGTTTGAGGGGGAACCGACTCATTCACATTCTCCTCACTGGCCCTCCTGGCATTGTTCCTTCTTGTATTCATTGCCTATAAGCACAATAGAAGGATTAGAAGAAAAGGACTAAATAAAGTTAATACTCTTAGGCACGACTATGGAATAACAAAAGAGTGAAAGTTCCTAAGCATTTCGTAGCCTCTCATGCATAAGTGTGGTGCGCTTCACACCCATGAACAAGACTCTACTCGACGTGGTATCTTGTGACATCAATCCTACATTATTCTCAACCTTATGCTCTGATACCAAGTTTGTAACGACCCGAGAGCACCCCCTAGTCGTTATCGGCGTATTCGACCACGAAAAGGTCTTATACAAGCCCTTAGCATTCATCATAACATGTATCATGGAATAAAATCACAAAAAATTTAAAACTTTTACTTTGGAAGTTCATCTTCACTTCATATATGAAAAACAGAATCTAACTTCGTCAAAATGTACCATTTAGACATAGATGTATCTAAAATGGGACTTAGCCCTTACATCAATAAGAAGTCTTGAAATAGGAAAGTACAACAATGTCTCTCAACATAGGCAAAGAACTAGAAGCTAGATCATAGGGTCTTGTCCTCGGACTTGAGGACTCACCAACTTAGGGAAGCAACTCCAAGTGTCTTGAGAAGTAAGCTTGAATCCTCAACGACCCGAACCTAAATGTTTGGGAAAAGGGGGAAAATATGGGTTAGTACAACACAAATACTTAGTATGGCTACTATGCATAAAAACCATTGAAACATGCATAAAAGGATTAGTCAAAAAATGATTTTTACCAAGTAAATACAATATGCACACAAAGTAAGCATCATAGTCCAAAGCAACCTAATGTCATCCCAACATGTAGACAACCCAAGAAATACTAGTGCAATGCAAAGAATATAACCCCATAACCCTATTCAATGCCAAATATCACATTAAGCAACCTACTCCATGCATACATTCATAAGATCATATTTCATCATAACTTACCATATTCATAGTGATCATACATAACATAGCTTCAACATACATAAGTCATAATCATCATAATCATAAGAGAACACTACTACAACCATCTCTTAGGATCCCACAAGTGCAATGTGCAAGAGAACTCCCATACCCTCCCTTACACTATATAGAAACCCTTAAGAAAGCCCCGGTAAGAGTTCACACCTTTCATACCTTCATATACTTTTACATTAGGGAAATATTGCAATAACCGACATAGAGCATGAGAGCTACATGGAATCTGGTGTTCTACTCCCACACCGAAAAGAGATGGTTAACACTTGCCTAAGGTGTAACCATTCATACATAGCTATCTAGGTGGATCCACTAAGCTAGAGTCCTATGTGAGCACATAGTTAACGGTCAAGGAGATTGCTTCTAGAAACCCTAACTTACTAAACGTGAGGGTTTCCTTGTCATGAGACAACACACACCGTGGGTAATCCGTACTTGCTAAACATGAGAAAACCCATAAGGGGAGCCGGACATACTAAATGTGAGACCCCCATCTCATTTACATGCCCTTTTGGTGCTAAGCATCTAATTCCCTTTTGTAATCATCTTTAGTCATCACATAAGTTCACATTAGCCTTTACTAGACTCTTATGTAGACATCTTTCCATAATAGGTCATGTGTGTTCATAAGTGAGTAACAATCCTTTCACTTTAGAAACACTTAGTAGAGTAAACCTTTCACTTTACATTACACTATAATTATGAGGACTACCTTTCAATCATATAGCAATCATCCCATAACATACATACATACTTCATAGCTAATTCGAGTGTAGAGGGTTAAGGATGAGGAAACTAAGTCATCAACACCACAACACATTAGGTATAACATCATTACAATCTAAGTAATTCACGTTTAATACTTGAGTTCAAAGAAGAACAAACTTTCATACCTTCTTGCCCTTCTTGGGACATCCATATTTCAATTACCAATTAATTTATAACCAATGCATAATACAAGGTAATTCATGAAGTAATAACATAATCAACATCAATATACGCAATTGACATACAAACATGAATTACATAACATCACATTCAATTCATAGCCTTCAATCAATATTCAACACAAACTAGGGTTAGAATTTGGAAAAGAAGAAACATGGGTCTCATGGGGAATTCATCAAGAAACCACCAATACAATCATAAATTCATCCATAATTGTGCATATAACATCAATCAAAGTTAGTTTATAATATCAATTTCACTTTAGAAAGAAGACCCAGATTTTTGGATTGAAACATAGAAATTGGAGATTTTGAAATTCATCTTGAAAGGGCATCTTGGGGAAAGGAATCCCAAGAGTGATACACAACCATACCTTATTAACGAATTACCCACGAAAATCCAAGTTGAAACCTTGGAGAGTTGGTCTTCTTCTTGAAGCTCCAATCTTCTTCAATGGAGTTCTTGAGAAGAGTGAGAGACAATAGAGAGAAGGAGGAACTTTAGGTTTTAATCTTTGGGGTTTTGTGTTTGAGTAATAAAAGTGAGGTAAATTGACTTAAAAATCATTATATACACGTCCCCTAAAGTACCCTAAATAACCCTCACTTAGTTGGACTCTTTAATGAAGTAAAAATAGATTTCTGAATTTCTGCATTTTCGTTGCGGAACAAGTTCGCGACGAGGAGCTGTTCCTTGAAGATATTTGGAATTAATATTCGAAACAGTAGAGTCCGCTAAACGACCGCATCACAAACTAGATTATTTCTCCTTGGGGGAGCTAGTCCGCGACGCGGATCCATTCCCACCAAGTTCAATTTGCAAGCTGCATTGGCAGCTTGCTTGGCCAAGGTTGGAGTCCTTCTCGGGACCCCTTAGGGTGGCCTCGGGGTGTCGTATTTGAACGTTTTGACCCTATAAACATATATTTACCTAATTTAAACCTTTTTAAAAGATTATACCATCATACGACACTGCCAAACCTGCCCAAAACCTAAGGGCACACTAGAACACATTCTTCTCTAGTTTCTGGACGTCTTGGTCGTTTCTTGACGTTTAGACTTTTACTCTTCCAAACCAAGTCAATTTCATTAATTTAGGTTTAGAAATATCATTTTAGCTATTTTTAAGTCATTATTCATAAGGTGAGGCTCTAACTTAAGTCATAGAATTTCCGGGGTGCTACAAGATGGGTCGTGAAAGCCACCCGGGCCATGGGAGAGATCGTGGTCTTAAAATAGGTTCGAGAGAGAAAGTGGTGGAAATATAGGCCACTGGTCAAGGACCACGGACACCACTATGGTCTGTGTGGTCCTTGACGGGTCATGGAGCCTCACGTGAAGGTGGGCAGTCCACTATAAGTTTAGGGGCAAATGGGTCTTTTCCAGTTTTAATTAAATTAATGCTATATCGGTTTACCCAATCCTAGGATCCCTTTATAAGTGATTTTAACCCCAAAAATCACTCATTCAAGTCATTATTTCCAAAACCCAAAAAACTCTCAAAGTTTTTCTCTCGAATATTTCTCTTTGTAGAACATGAAGAAGAAGAAAGAGTTCAAGCTAGGAGAAAGGTTGAGTCTCTATTCCTCAAGAATTTGTGGGCTTTGATATCAGGGTAAGATGGCTTTTGATCCATGGAGTCCCAAGATTCCCCAATTGAAATGTAGAAATTCCCAAATTTGATTTAGGGTTTTCTTCTAATATTTTGGGCCTTGATGAATATTGATCCAATTGATTGGGTTATGATTGTTTATGATTGAATTGATAGGATTACATGTTTTAGGATTAATTTATTCGTACTCATGCCTAACCCATCTCTAGAAGAATTTATGTAAATGGGTTTGATGCCATGAAAGGAGAATTTATGGGTTTAGATGTATTCTTGTAGGATTGATGAGATACATTAGAATTGCTTGAGATTGAAGCATATATGATGATTGTGATATACATTTCTTTGAGAAGCTTATATGATGATTAAGAGAAATAGTGCTTTGAGAGTAAAGCTTATGATATAAATTGTTGATTCCATTGGGTAGATTTATTGGTCATGTCAGGTTCTATTGGAGGTTCATTAAAGATTTCTCCAAGATTATCATTCCATTGGGTAGATTTCTTGACAAAGAGAGCACATTTGTTTTTGATACTTTTTATTTGGTGGCTTTCAAAACACTCAAGGAAAAACCTATCTCTACTTCGATAAACATTGCACTTGATTGGAATTTCCCATTTGAAATGATATGTGATGGTAGTGATTTGGCTCTAGGAGCTGCTCTTAGGAAATGCAAAAAACAAGTTCTTTCATCCTATCTACTATGCTAGCAAAACTCTGATTTGTGCTCAAAAGAATTAAACCATAATTGAGCAAGAATTGTTGGTTGTGGTATATCGGTTAAAGAAGTTTGGAGCATATTAATTGGGTACCAAAGTGGTTGTGCACACTGATCACACAACTTTAACATACCTAATTGCTAAGAAAGAGGCTAAGCCAAGGCTAATCATATGTGTGTTACTCCTTAAAGAATTTGACTTTGAGCTGAAAGGTAGAAAGGGGTGTGCAAAAGTCACGACCCAGGGGTGCCCCCTAGATGTAACTAGGCACATAGAACCCGTAAGGCACTATGTAAGCCCCTTAGCATATCATAACATAAGCATAAAACAATAAAGATTAAAAATACATTTCAAGTCCAAAATTTTCATAAAAGACAAAAGTGGAAGTATAGACTCTAAGTCTCAACATAGACATCTATTACAATAGTTCAAATGAAAAAGGGACACAATTCATACAAAATAGTACGAAAAGGAAATAATAGAAGTGAAACATCTTTTCTCTAATCAAGAGGA